GCCATGCACCACTAATTTTCTTAGCTATAAACCATGCGAAGCCCAAGACCTTTCCAACGAATGCAAAATTGTCAAAATCAATTCGTGCGTTCTGGAGTTATTTCGTCAGGGAGGAAAACCCGACTTATTTTTATATATATAGAAGATTATATATATATATATATATATATATATACAGTGGTGTTGTGCTAATATTTTTTTGCCGGAACGCTAAAATTTAAAATCCGGTTCATAAACCGGTTCAAAAAATTTGATATATTTCGATAAGACCTCACAAATGTAATATATTGACTTATTATATAATTAACTCTATTATACACAGCTAGTCTATAGGTACATTAAATTGTACAAGTATGAGGGAATCATTGAGTACATAATTTATATTCTTCAATGACATTAATCATATTTATTCTGGTATTATTTGTATTCATTAATACCTACAGGTATTTATTATGATATAAAAGTACTCAAGATTTATTACAATACTTTATAAGACTTAACCTAATAATATGATAGATAACCTATTACCTATCATACTATACTATATTATTGTATATCATAGGATAGATATCTATTATCTATCATACCGTGAGATCTATACCGTCATTAACTTATTATATACCTACAGACCTTTTACTTCTTATAAATACTACTGTCTAATTTATATATTCACCTATATATATAGGTTTACCTTACGCCCTATGTATTATCTCTACCTATCTATTGCCTATACCGGATTGAACCCGGGACCTCCGCGTGGAAGTCGCGCACCTTAACCACTACCCTACCGGATACCCCCACCAATAATATAATATGGGACGCACTGTTGTTTCCGCGGGTCATTTTCTAATTAATTAGGTAATTAATACTAGGTGGCGCGACGACACGCGAAAAAAGACGTTGATTGTAGCGTTACGGTGGTGTAGTGGATAAGGTCGTCGCATGCCACGCGGCGGACCCGGGTTCGAATCTCGGTAGGGTTAATGTAGCGTGTAAGGGAAATTATAGGTAATAGAGGATATATAGTAGATATAGGTTAAGTGTATTCGGTATACATGTAGGGATTTGAGAGTATATAATGAAATATAGCGTATGGTACAGATGTAAGGCGTGTAGTATAGATGCAACGTATAGGCACACGTGTAAGGCTATAAAAATACATGAATAGAAACCTATGATGTAGATGTTAGCGGCTCGACAACACCACTGTATATATATATATATATATATATATATATTATCTATGTCATGGTGATATTTACCCCTTAGGTTTTACTTGGGGTCGAAAAATGGGTAAAAAGTTGGTATATTTTACCATCACACCGACGTGCTACACATGAGCAACAACGTGTTGAAACTCAAATTTTTAGGAAAAAACCTTCGTGGAGATTTGGCAAAACATACAAGCCTAATGATAATGTTATTAATGTGAATAACAACACGTTGCATGGCAGCAAATACAATACTTTGAGGAATTCCATACATGGGTTCGAAGGATTCGATAAAAGTAAACAAATCGGTAAGTAGAAATAGACTGATATATATTTATATTTATATTTATATATATACTAGCTGACCCGGCAAACGTTGTTTTGCTAAGTAAGGTATATTCTGAACAATTTATAGAGAATCAAAAATATTAATACTTTAAGTGTATAAAGATGTGTTGTTTGAATGCTGTATACAATGAGGTATTATAAAAACAATAAACCCCATTCGTTTGTCTATATATTTTGTCAATACAATCAAACTGCAAGTTTTATACACTTTCTATAGAAAACAATATGATATAATCCAATCCAAGTCTTTTTTGGTCTTTCGAATTATTGATTACGTTTCGAGTTTTCGAGATTTTTTTTTTGGATTCTGGATTTTGTGTATAATTGTAAATAATACTACTGAACTTATAAAAAAATTCCAAATTTCTCCGAAGAAAGATAGAAAATGAATTAAGTATTTCTTCTTTGACCTGCTTTTTGAAAAGATTCAAGTAACATTCGATGAAGTAAAGTAAATTTAATAAAAAGTATATATGTAGAGCAGGGCGAAGCACAATGGTCCAATTTGACTTTGGGCAAATATTAATTATATTTTAAAAATCAAACTAATTATATCACAACAAATAACACATATCAAACGTATACATTATCTGACTACGTTCAGTAAAACTGCCAGCTGCTTCATCATTGTGGAAATATGCTTTTTTTATGTCTTTCAAAAATTTGTTATCTAGACCTTTTTACCCTATAGGCGGGGTAACTTGAAACGGGCAGGTGGAAAAAAGGTTTAAAGCCTTATTAAAGTTTTAAAGGTATTTTACAAAATAATTTCATTTTTAACTAATGCTGAAAAATTACCAACGGAAGAAAATACTTTTATTATTGATTTTTAAAGATTACTGTTTATCTCCCTATATCAAAGTCATAAGAATCAAAGTCATAGCTGGTTATACATCTTTTTTTCTCTACTTTCAAATATTGTTGTTAAACAATGCTTAATTTTACTGGTTTTTGGCACATCGGTGGTGGACTTTCTTAACCCCGGACCTTCATATATTACTATCTATTCTTCGATAAATTCTGGGAAATTGTAACTGAGAAAATGTTATTCAAAAACCAAATTTAGGTTCTGAATTTAAATAACATATATAAATAATAATATAACTTAGAAAATGCTTTATAAATACCAATGAGTATATAATTATAGAAATGACATCTTTCAGAACACCGTGTTTGAGAAAAAT